TTGTAGCTGTTCGAGGGCGTTTCCTGTCGTTAGAGTCATATAGAACAACGTTTTCTGAGCCTAGAAGCAGCAGAGTCTTATCAACGTGATGGATATGAAACACTTGATGCAGGTGAAACACATCAAGTGATGGGATCAGTTGTATAGTACAGGGTAAATGATGAATAGTTAGGAAAGAAAAAGAAACCCCCCTCTCACACTGTAACACCTATAGATTGTCATGCAGCGAGGAATAGATTGATCTTCACATCAACAGCTCTAAACCAGTCCACTTCATTGGTTACTCCTGGATCTTTGATATCTTGAAGTGATGCCCAAAGACTCTCCAATAGATTGTCATCTTGTGTCAACAAGTACTCCCAAGTGTCCTCCTCCTATTCTTTATCCAAAGTGTTCTAGTTCCCTATAGGTTCCGCGGTGCACAATGCCACTGCTGCAGTAGTTGATACCCATCATAGTCCAAAGGCAGGGTTGCCATCAACTGGAACACCCATGGGAGGTCAAGTGACAAAGTTAGCATATGCTCCAGGAAAGTAGGGTAGCACCCATTCCAAGGGTTCAACATCTTGTACAGGGGTAGAGGTGTCAAAAGGAATAGATCACCAGGATCTGGTAACATCATTGGAGGGGTGCTGGATTATGTTGTCGCTATAGACCACAAATTCCTGGGGATTGCTGCTATACCCTTCTGATGCTGTGATATACTTGCTGACATTTGCTAATAGCTGCAGATTGGGAGTGTGGTCAAGACTTCCATTATCAGAGGTGTCAGAGGCAAGAGGTGGCATATTGGGAGAATCAGTAGATGCAGCAGGGGGGCTATCAGGATTTGAGGAGGATGAGGTGTTTATAGGTGATGAGGATGGGAAAACCTGTGCAGGAGCGACATGGTAGGATCTGGTGGATGCTTCCAAGGTATTGTGAGGGATTCCCAGCAGTCCAGGGAATTGATGTAAGACTATAGCATTGCTGTCAGAAGATTCTGGGGGTCCTGGTATCAGGAATGGTTGACAAGTGACATTTGGCAGGGGTGCAAATGGATAACGGAAGCCTCCTTCATTGAGAAATTCTAGCAAAGAGTCATCAGATTCTTGCTGGGAAGGGAAGCTTAAGATAGGCTGAATGGGAACCGGCATTTCTACTATCCCAGCCATGAAACACTCTTCTAGTGTCTGGAGGTGGGAAGGGTAAGGGGTTGGCGCTCTTTGGGTGCCAGCTGTCAGAGAATTGTCATGCCTAGGAGCCAGAGGGCAACAGCGCGGGTCCAGGTTAGGAGTGCATTGCTGTTTCTAGCATGGTTGTTGTGCTCAGCAGGCATGAGGAAGAGGCAATAAAGGATTTTTCTGGAGAAAACCAGGCACAGAATACAAAACACAGCAAGTACTACAGACAAAGTGAGACCCCAGACACTAATCTTGATGCTCCCAGATGTATTCAAAATACACTTGGGTGGGATTGTTAGAATCCCAGTTGGCCACAATCACAGGGAGGGTGGTGGTTGTATGTGGGAGGGGGTGCTGAGCCATGGTGGTGATGTTGAAGGCCCACTGGTGTTTGCACTCCAGGTGCTGGATTGTGGTGCAAAGGGTGAGGGGGATGATGAGGGTGAGGGCGAGGATGGAGAGGAGGGTGGTGAGGACGAAGCCCAGAAGGGCTAGGAGCAGAAGTTGGGGGTGCTCATTGATGACAGCAAGGGTGGCAGTGGTGAGGGGGGCAACTTGGTTCACCACTAAGAAGATCAGTAAAGGGGACAGTTGCGAGCTCAATAGGGGACATTACTTGTGCTCTGTTGTTTGCCCAGTTGAGAGCTTGTTCAGTGATGGGTGTGGTGGTGGGAGTGGGGATCTGGTTGATGTGGAAGCGCATGGTGTATGTCTCCTTGAAAAAGAAGACAGTGAGGGTGAGGAGAAGGATGAGGAGCGTGGTGAGGAACCAGCTGATAAGAAGGAGAGCGATGAGGATAGTGGTGGATGCCATTGGAGGAGTAGAGGGAGAGTAGTTCTTATAAGGGTTCACCCTTTATTTGGTTTGTAGGAAGTCTGCCAAAGTGTCTTTGGCATGTGAAAGTTTGGCTTTCAGCAACCAGGAGTTGTCTGAGGCCAGATATCCTTTCCACTGTACCTGGTACAGTGTTTGCTTGCCAACTGTCTTTGAATCAATGATACATTCAATTTCAAACTCCTCCTGGTTCTTGATTAGTTCCGGGGGTGGTCAAAGGTAGTTCTTCACGTGCATTGTTGTTTCCAAATAAGGATAGAGTAATCCTGCATGGAACACTGGATGGATCTTCCATTTAGGTGGTAGTTTCAAGCAGTAGATGACTGATGACAACTTCTAATCAATGGTGAAGGGACCATAGCGTTTTGGACCAAGTTTTGCCTTTGGGTGGAGTCCTTTGAGGTTAGTGGCTTCCAGCCATACCTTTTGTCTGGGCGCATATTCAACAAACTTATCCTTATTGCGTTTCCTGATTGTTTCTTCTGCTAGTCGAATACTGGGTTGGATTTCCATGTGAAGGTGTGCTAGCTGAGTGAGTCTAGAAGCGATATCAGGAGCATCAGTTGTTCCCACAGTGGGAATATTATGCTGAGGTTGGTAACCTATGAGCGCTTGGAAGGGAGATGTCTTGATCACGTCATGATACCAATTGTTGTGCACAAATTCTACCAATGGTAGATGATATGTCCAGTCTGTCACTTGGTGATTGCAAAAGATCTGAAGATACAATTCCAGATCTTGGTTGACACATTCTGACTGTCCATCAGTTTGAGGGTGGAATGTGCTAGAAATGTTCTGTTTGATGCCCAATTTAGTGCATAGTTCCCTGAATATTCATGATGCAAATTGTGGTCCTCTGTCAGAGATAGCTTTGACAGGTAGTCCAAATTGTTGGAAGACATTGTTCTGATACAGGGCGGCAGTTTCAGACACTGTGACTGTCTTGTTGCAGGGTATGAATACTGAAGCCTTGGTACAGTTGTGATCAGTTACTACCAAACAGCTGTCAAAGCCATTGCTCCAAGGAAGATCTGTGATGAAATCCATGGCAATGGATTGGAATGGAAGGTGATGTTCCGTTGAGATGGGTACTAGATCCGGTGAGTTCCTATGTGTGGTGACCTTGTTTCCTTGGCAAGTTGCGCAACCAGTGACATATTCACTGATGTCATGAGCAAGGGTGGGCCACCAATAGGTTCTTTGGAGGATCTCTTGTGTTTTGTATTGTCTAGGGTGTCCTGTGGTAGGGGAATTGTGGGCTTTCTGGATGAGATCCCATTGAAGTTCAGTATTCTTGGGTATGTAAACTCATCCTCTGAATACCAATAAGTTGTCTTGGATATCCCAATTAGGAGGAGTATGTTTGTCTGTGGATGAAGTGTGCTGTAATGCCAGCCAAAGACTGTGATCAGCAATGCTGTCCTTTGTTTTGCAAGTCAAGATGCATTGTTTGATGTTAGTGTTGATGGGTTCAAGATTCTGAATGGCTTGAATGAAGACTTCTGATGGAAGAAGGATTTCTTCCACAGGAAGTTCAACCCCCCCTTCAGATGCATCTTGATCAATACATGATAGGGCATCTGCCTTACCCAAACGTGTTCCTGGGACATGACACAGGCAATAATTGAACATAGACAGGTACAATTCCCATCACACTTGTCAAGGATTCAATTTCTGGAGATCTTTGAAATATGTGAGATTCATGTGATCTGTCAATACTTCCACTGGTTTGATGCATCCTTCAATGTAGTGTCGCCAGGCTTTAAAACATCTGATGATTGCCAAGAGTTCTTGATCATAGATTTTGTATTATTGTTCTATGGGAGAGAAGGATTGGGATAGGAAGGCACATGGATGCCATCTTCTATCAGATTGTTTCTGAGATAGGATGCCACCAGAAGCTTTCAAAGAAGCATCTGATTCTATTCAGAATGGTTTAGTAACATCATGTTATAGCTTCAAGGGGGGGTTTCTTTCTCTTTCCTAACTATTCGTCATTGACCCTGTACTATACAACTGATCCCATC